TTAACAGCACATAGCATCACCACCCTTCTAGCCCATACAGGAGCACAAACACTCCCCTAAGCACAGATACCTGCTGGTAATCAAATTGTGCTGGCATCATGCCACTACCTTTGGGCAATGCCATATTTCTTATTTGTATGCAATACTTTTTCATATCTTCCACATTTTTCTCTCTGTGTCCTTTTGTCCAGTTACTTCATGGAAATCTCCTTGTATCTCTCCTTACCCTCCTCCCTTAGTTCATTATTATTTTGAAACTTCCCCCTACCCTTCTGAAAAGTTACATTATACCTGATAAGAAGACATCTGATGCTAATGATAAAATTTATGTCAAGTAAAATATGTTGTTGCTGTTGTTACTGTTATGTGCCTTTGAGTCGGGCCTGACTCATAGCGACCCCTCCTTGGGTTTCTGAGGCAATATCACTATGGAAGTAGATTGCCCCATCTTCCTTCTGAGGAGTAGCTGGTGGGTTTGAACCACCAGCCTTCTGGTTAACAGTCAAGTGCCTTAGGCACTACGCTACCAGAGCTCCCAAGTAAAATATGTATTCAAAAATCTGGGTAAGCATATGGAAACCAGTACCATCAATTTCTAAAACATTACATGATCTTTATAAATGTATCCTTAGCAAGCTTTATTTTTTAAAAAATTTTATTGTGATTTGGGTGAAAGTTTACAGAGAAAATTCATTTTCCATACAGTAGTTCATACATATTTTGTTTCATAACATTGATTGCAATTCCCCACAATGCAACAGCTCTCTTCCCACTTCCTCCCCATAGTTACCTCTTCCCTGTGTCCTTCCCTTTCATGCATTCCCATCCCACCCCCACACCAGTTTATCTCCCTGTGCAGATACTACCCTTCTGCTCTTCCATGATTGATTGCTCCAAGGAGTGTATCTACCTGATGTAAATGTTCACCCCGTATGCTTGTCTGTTGTTTGGCTGGAAGCTATAAGACTGAGTTCAGTGAGTTTAATTCCAGACCTGAAGGGTAACTAGGGTCCACAGTCTCAAGGGTCTCTCCAGACTCTGTCAGACCAGCAAACCTGATCTTTTTGTTTGTTTGTTTATTTTTATGATTTTGAGTTTTGTTCCACATTTTTCTCCCACTCCATCCAGGATCTCCTGCACCGATCTCCTTCTGAGAGATTGAGAGTGGTGGCCAGGCACCATCTAGTTCTTCTGATCTCATGGTCATATAGTCTGAGGATTGCATGCTTATATACTAATTGTTTCCATGTGTCTTTGGTTTTCATCATTCTTCTTTGCTCTGGAAAAGGAGAGACCCATTGTTGCATCTAGATGGCTGCTTGTAAACTTTAAGACCCCAGTTGCTACTCACCAAACTAGGATGTGGAACAGTGTTTTTGTGTAGTATGTTATGCCAATTGAGCTTGATGTCCCCTGCAACCATGGTCCTGAGCCCACAGGTCCAACTACTCACTCCCTCCGGGTTGCTGGCTGTGGACAAGAAGCCACCACAAACTTGCCCCTTCTCAGCTCTACTATGTACCCAGACATTCTTACAGCACATACAAATATGCATGTAGAACCATCATCTGCCAGCCCTATACATATGGTCATGAGCACACTCCCCTCTGCCAAGACATACCTGGTCGTTCAACCTGTCCACCCATCTATCTACCTGTAGATCAATGCTCTTAGCAGGCTTTAATTTTAACATTTAACATTCAATATAGTCAAGACTATTTGTAATAGTGTTATGTTTCTTTTGCTTGTATATATTAATTATATAGCCAATATTTACTTATTGATTAAATAGACTTTGGAGGGAGAGCTAGGGAATCTAACCCCTACTTATAACATTATTACCATAAGAAAATTATAAATTGTTTTGACCTGTAACATATTTGTAGAGAAAGCAACCCCAAAATATAAAATATTTATATTTTCTGAAGCATTTGTTCTTTTTCTTCCTACTTCCAGTGCCATTTTGGATTTCATTTTGGCAAGACACTTCCTTCTATTCTTTAAGTAATCTTTGATTAGTCTTTTTTTTTTTTTTCCTTTCTGCTTATCTTTTTAGTCATCCTTGAATAAATGAAGTTATTCTCTGCCTTATTTGTCCAGAAATATTATGGATTCATTCTCTATGGGTCCTCTCACTAATATCCTGGATGCCAGTAGAATCCTCCTCTAGCATCATAAAATGGAGTTATTTAGCAGCTTGTAGAATGGACAGAAAGCCCTGTGGATATTGTCAACTGGAAAATCTTATCTCTGTACAGTCTTTTCTGTTTTATTTAAAAATGTTATAGTCAGTTTTGTGTAGATGGTTTTCTTTTTGACCTGTTTCTACTGCGTGTGTGCATATGCATGTGCACACATACAGTCACCTCAGGATAAGCCTGACAAAGTAATGAGCAGCTGGCTTTAGTCAGAGCTCTCTCTCTGGCGTGGTTTCCAACTCCAGCACAACTGCCTCTAACTATTGTTGGACTGTAGCTCCAAATGGAATAGACCACCTTCCTATCTTCACAAAGGGTAGGGATGGGTTTATCCTGTACCTTACAAATTACTTACTCCCTGCCATATAAGAGAGAAAATGGATTATAGTAAACTCTTCCTGCTCAAGCCTTTGAATGTGATGTAACCCAGATTACACCCTGAGCCTTTGACCAAATCTCCAGATATACTCAGACAGAGACAGAGAAAAGGCTGGCATCTCTATCAGAACTGAAGAGGGGAAACATGGTCTTCATTTCATGTGGTCACGTGCCTAGTTATAGATGAGAGGTTATGCTGCTAGAGAATAAGATAGAATAGAAATTGGGGGGAATGGTTAGCAGCCCATGACACAGGGGTACCTTCCCTACACAGAGTAAGCAAATAAAACATTGAATAGTATTAGGAATAAAAGTGGCTGAGGGAAAAAACTTAAATTCTCATATAATTCCATGCAAAAATTGAAAATCTCAAATCAAACTGTATAAAATTAAAGAACATATAGCTATAACTGATATTTAGGTGACAAGTAATTTATATGCACAAAAACAATGGAAATCTTCCCTTCCCTCTACCCTCCCCCCCCCCTTCCAAGAAAAAAAAAGAAATGAAGAGCTACCCTTTAAGAAAGACAAAGATGCCTGGAACCAAAGTTGAAGAGATAACAAATAGTCTGTAAACATATCTAAAAATGTTCAGTGCTATTAGTGGTCAAAGAACTATTAACTGAAAAATGAGATTATTTTGGACTGCTGATTTTCAAGTATTTCAACAACTTTCTACTCAGTGCTGGAGTTTTGTATTCTGAATGAATTGGAAATTTTTGTTCAATACTATGAAAGAAATGTGATAGCAATATGATGGATGTTTTAAAAACATAACCAATCTAGATAAGTTGCTGCTGACCTATGTGTAAGTATAACTTAAAATAGCAAAAGTGAAATAAATAAGTATATAATTATTAAAGCAAGATATGATATAAATTTTAATTATTAAAGTAAAATGTGATATATGCATATGATAGAATGTTATTTCACCTACTTAAAATGGTATTTTAAAAGAATTATTACTGACCTAGGAATATAAGAGTGTATGTTTAATACCTAAACACAGTTTCAAAAGTAGCCTTAAACATTTTTTGAACATTGATTGCAACATAGGAATAAATTCATCACTTCCCAGAAGGAGAAAGCACATTATCTGGTTCCTTGAGTTTTATGATGTTTGAGGGGGGAAAAAAAAGGTCAGCATTGTTAGCTTAGAGTCATATCTCATATCTCATTGCTCTTTTGAAAAGATATTGATAATTATTGGAAAAGCAAATATGAAGCAGACTATGTGCGGAAGTAAAATAGATTCTTTTCAAAATGAGAGCCAATACATTGTAAATTCTTAAGCATAGTTTTAAGAGGGTACCAAATGTAATTGTTCAAAAAGATTTAGAATTACTTAATTGTTTTCTGTCATTGGTGAAAATATAAGTATAGCCTAATGGTTAGACATTTTTTAATCGAGTGATCTTTGGAATTAGGTATTAAAAAACGTATATATATATATGTATGTATATATTTCTGGCCATCTGGTTCCAAAGACCATTTGTTAAGAAAAGTTAATATTGTTCTGACAAACTTCCAAACTTCTTTTTATGTAGCTGCTTATTCCGGATCACTGTCTATAATTTGTAGAATGATGTTCTGCTGCAGAATCTCTCTGTTCATTCTAAATCTCTAGCTGTGTTTCAATTACGTAGCTGTACTGCTATTTTACATGTCTTAAGATTAAGGTTACTATCAATGAAGAGATTAAGCACTAGTCTTTGTGTGTGTATGCTAGTGCTCTTCAAAGTCAGTAGGATTCTCATTGTGGACACTTGTGCTGTGTACCTGTCACTAGAGCTTATTTTTACCACTTCTCAAATATTCCTTTGAGAAAAAAAAAATGCAGATTGATGCTACCTGGTATCCTCATCAACACTTAGCCTTCTTATTTTATATGTCCTTCTCTTTGAAATTTGTTTAAATGGGGCCCTTAAATAACTTTCAATGTATTGTATATTTAGTGGTAGTGTTTTCTCTGGCACTTGGATTGCTGCTTTTGTAGTTCAGTCCATGAGGTGTTCATACTGTCAGCTTTCCTTTGACTCGTAAAGTAAGTAAATTATTTTTTCAGCTGTAGGCTTGGGTAGAAGTTCCCTGTAGCTATCCATTTTGTGAGCTAATTGGGCTTCTCTCCTACCAACTCACAATGTGAAAATGGAAGAGATCTAAGAGAAAAATGCAAAGAATAATGGTCCTCAAGTAGATTTTCTTGGTTGTAAAGGATAAATTACTTATGACAGTATTTGACTAATGTGCCCAGGATTTCAATGAGGTCCCACTGGATACATTTCCTTAGCAAAATATAGTCTTAATTGAAAATAAGTAAATAAATAATTAACATACACTGTGGTGTTTAAAAAGCACTGCTGAAATTGTTGGATAAATTACATTAAGACTCTTTACATGGTTTTACCTTTTGTTTTCCAGCTGGAAAATTATTCGTTGCACCTCTAATCCTGGTTTTGGGAATAGCACTAGGGGCCATAGCAGTTGTAATCGGTAAGAAATATTTAACATATCTGACATTGGAATTCTCTGAGTCCCATAGAGAGAATAGGAGCATAAGTTATTAAGTGTACATTATTTCTGTTCAGTGTTTGTTTTCAAGGAAATGGGCCAGGGAAGACTGCATTTTAAATAGGCAGTTAGCATATGATTTACAGCTTCAGAGAAGAGCATATTTCATATAGAATGTATTTGTGTAGCACTTTTTCAATCTACAAACCCATTGATTTATGTCTCTTAAAAAGTATTAGTAACTCCTTTTACTACCAAAGTTAATACAACTAGTGTTAGTGAGAGAGTCCATTGGACTAGAACTCAGATTCTCCAACTTGGAGTTCAGATTGGAGTATCAAAGGGACTCTGGTGCACTCTTAGGTATTTGATCTGGTGAAAAAGATACCTTTGATGTACATAGAACATATTTTGATGAGCAAAGAAAACATATTGGTGATTTGTATAGGTTGATGTATAAAGTAAAGTAGAATGAAATATGTATTTTAAAAGCAGTGGTTCTCATACTGTAGCATGCATTAGAATTACCTGGAAGGCTGGTTAAAATACAGATTGCTGTGCCCCACTCCCAGGATTTCTGATTCAGTTGGTCTGGGGCAGAGCCCATGGATTTGTATTTCTACAATATTCCCAAATAATGTGATGCTTCCAGTCTCAGGACCACACTTGAGTACCATTGCTTTAGAGAATTTTAATTAAATGCTACAAATAAAGTCTTCTTTAATGATTCCTCTATGTAGTAGATGGGATTTTTGTTTTGTTTTTGCTAAATAAAAAGATTTTCCAAATAATTTAGCAAATAATGCATGTTCAAAGCAGATAGAATTATAAAGTAACTGGCATTTAAGTTCTTGCAGTGAATCAGGACATTATGAGGTAGATAATATTATTATCTGCATTTTATAATTGAGGATATTAAGCTTACTCTAAGACCTTAAGGAACTTTGGTGGTATAGTATTTAAGATATTTGGCTGTTAACCAGAATGTCAGTGGTTCAACACCACCAGCTGCTCTGCAGAAGAAAGATAGGGTGGTCTGCTTCTGTGAAGATTTATAGCCTTGGAAACCCAATAGGGGTTGCTGTGAGTCAGAGTCAACTTAATGGCAGTGAGTTTGGTTTGAGTCTGAAGACCTTATGAGTGGTAGAACCAGGAATCATACCTGACATTTAGCTCCACATCACATGTTCTTAACTGATATTCTGAAAAGTCTGAAACTGCAATGTATATGTTATAGTATGCAAATGATATGACTATGGCTAATAAAGAAGACTTAGACCTAAGATTTGATACTGTGATAGAAAACAGTATTGTATATTCAAACTGGTATCACTGGGGTTGTTAAAAGTAGGGGAAGAGAGAACTAAAGGGAAAATTTTAATAGAAAGGGAAATCTTGTAGAAGTAAATAAATTTTATAACATAGGTGTCTTCCCTCTTTTCATTTTCATGTATTGCTAAAATATGATTATTTATCAACAGTTTGCAAGTAATTTGAAATGGTCATTTTAAATATGTAAAAGTAACTATTTCTCCTCCTAACTAACTTTCATCTTTCTTTCTTTCTTTTTTTTTTAATCCATAGGTTTATTTGTGTTTCCTATCTATTGCCTTTGTAAAAAACAGAGAAAACGATCACGGACAGGTATGCACTGGTGAAAAGCAGATGATTGCATCTGAGCAGTGCTGGTCCGGGTAGGAGCTATGCAGAATGGGACACCCATGTCTTGATCACATCTTGAAAATCACTGAGAAGAACCTTCTGCCATCCTGTCTCCCAGTGGTTCTCTGCAGGCCACAATGCCTCTAGCTATGGTGCACTCCCAACATGGTATCCTCTCACTTTCCTTATACAGATTGCTGCTTTAAAAAAAAAAAAAAAAATGGTCACTTTCATAGACTATAAGCATCTGTATCATAACTTTGACCTTCTTCATGGTTCTTTGAAGAAAATACTTACTTAAGAACCAGTTATCCTCAGAATTCTTCTGAACACACCTCCCCTAAGCATTGCTTGGACTTTGAGCCCTGAACCTCCCTCCATGACACTTGGTGTGAATAGCTGAAGTCTCATCTGTACCAATGAGCAAGGCCACTTTTCTGAAGATGAAGGTTCACTACATGCACCTGTTTTCATCTGTGGCCCAAGCAGTATAATCCATTCATCTTCAGATTCTGTAATTGCTAAGTATCTCAATGCCCAAAGGGGAACTAGAACTAAATCAATGAAAAGAATCATGAGTTGCTGAAGTCTGTACATGTAAGGGTGTGAATGTGTGTATATATAAATATCTATGTTAAAACTAGGCCGATAACCATGTACTTTTCTAGTTCCATGCCTCTGCACTACTTTTCATATTTTAGTAGAGCTATTTAAAAATTGATGGTTCCTTTGTGGGCATAACTTGGTAATGTAGTGAATTAAAGTCACTGTAGACAACAGGCTATTTCAATGTTGGCCCTTTCTGTTTCTTGTCCTCTCTTTTTATCTTTCTCTCTCTCTCTCTCTCTCTCTCTCTCACACACACACACACAAACTTGTGCAATATCACCCAAGCATTATCAAACTTTGTATACTGGCAAACTGATAGGCTGCTTTCAAGAATTCTTAAGACCTAAGCATTTGGTCTTTTCAGGTTTCTTATATATTGGCATGTGTGCTTCACTATATGAATAAATCCTTCTGGTGAAGTTAGTTATTCCAAAGAATAAATTTAGTATAAGGAGAACTGCTTTTATCTTCAAAAATAGCCCATTCTGCTAAATATTTTTTTTTATCAGTTTGTAATTATAGATGATTCTGTTTTAGGTCAGTGTTTCAAAATATTTAATACACCACCTCTTCTCTCTTTTTATTTGTCCTGGAGTTTTTCATAAAAATAAATACTGCTTTGGAAAGACTTTTCTTACATTTATTGCTCAAGTGCATTATAATCTTATCTGTTGATATCTTCTCTGGAGAGATGAAAGCAAAAGTTTTTGTTTTCATGGATATATCTAAAATATAAACTGATTTTGGAGAAAGAAACAAAAAATGAAGGAAATATTTTCCGGATGTTTTTCAAAGCTGAGAAATCTTTAAAAACAAGAAATTTAAACTTCTGCTGCTTTGTTTTCATCATGAAAGTTCATCAGCAGAAAAGACACCCATAAAAAGCTTAACGTTTCCTATTGTCTCCAAGTCCTTCCCATTAGCTGTCTGTCATAGATGTAGCATTTATGTCAGCCCCTTGTGTAACTTGTAATATGTGAGGTGATAAAACATGCATTAACATGGGTAGTTTGTTGGGCTCCAGAGTATAAGAACATTGGTCATTTTTGGTTTGACCTAAAAGTCCTTAATAATGAAGTTTACTTGCATTGATAAGAAGCCAGCATGCTTCCTTTTTTTTCCTAATAATAATCAGAATATTTATGCTACTGTTTCTGGACTCATTATCTATTTCCAGTTGAAGGTGTGCCATTTATGATTCTGGAATAGCGTATTTCTAAACTACAGCATTGTGTAAGAAAACGTGATACTCTAGTTTCACAAATTCATCTTTGCATTTCTCCATTCATCCATCCATCCAGGTCTTTCCACCCATCCACCTGTCCTTCCATTCATTCAACAGATATTTATTGAGTGGCTCTCCTAGGTGCTCTAGTACAAAGACTGCAAGAATGAGACTTTTTAGCCTAAAGCCATGTATTTCTATCATAAAGTACTTAATTTCTGTAAATATGTCTTTCCTGGACTTAGGCCTTAGTTTGGTGATGTATGGATATAATCAATTCTAATCGAGTGAAATGTATATGTATGTTATACATATGTGTGTACAGAAAATATTTCCATAGCTGCATATGAATACATGTGCCACATACATATATACAAACTGGTTGAATAATGTGCTGTCTGGTCTAGATAATCTAGTTTCTTAGGTTATAGTATCTGTTGTCTTTGGCCTACTCAGGGATTTTTATTCCTTTCTTTAAATAATTTATCTTTTGGGGGTATTTTTTGTATTATTTAGAAAGTTTCCCAGTATTTCTATTACAAAGCAGTGTCTGTTATCAGTGAAGGCTAGTCTATCAATGCTTGAGATAGTGTGCATTGTAATGCACACATATTTCATTTTTCTATTGCATAGATTTTTTTTAATTAATGTATTTGTTTTTCTCTTTATAAGTTGACATATATTTGGTCTTTCCCTGCTGATGGGTTAAATGAATTATTTGTGAGGGTTTTTATTTTTTTCACTAAAATTCATCAAAATTAAAAAGAAGAAAATGACACAGATTATTTATATGCCAGTGCCAATATTGAAGGCAAGACTACAACAGCAACTTTTAGAGAATTCTAAAAACTACTTTAGAAAAAAAATGCGTGCACATAAAATAAATACCTTTCTATCCAAAGCTTGCCATTTTTATATGTTTTTATTCTAAATTTAATACAAACCCTTTAAAACATCAAACCATAGAATTATAAACTGTAAATTATTCTTATCCTACCCCTTATTTGCTAGGGGTAACCACTATTAATGGTTTGGTATGTCTTCTTCCAGATATTCTATACAAATACATGTCTGTGTTTATGTGTATATGTCTGTGTATTAGTTTTATACAGATAGAAAAATAATATTGTTACTGTCCTGTGACTTATTTTTCATTTTATCATATATAAGTAAATACCTTTCCATAAGAGTCTATATAGAATTACCTCATTCTTTCATAAATTACTGCATATTGATTGCCTTGTACGGCTGTCCCTTTATTTATTTAATGAATCCCCTATTGAATGGACAAGGAGATTTTTTCACTTCTCTATTATAAACAAAGCATCAGTGAAGATTCTTTTACATATATTTTTTGTGCCCTGATATAAACATTTCCACAGGTTTTTAAATTTGATTTTTACAAGATATTTATAACAAAATTTTTAATACATTTTCAGTGAATGAGATCACGGAAATAATGTAATTGAAATGCTTGTCATGGAGGAAAAAAATATTTGGAATGCATAATTTTTAGAGAAAAGTCTTTTTTGCAGGATAAGTTTCCCCCTGCTTGATTAGCCAAATAAATACTTTGCCAAAAATAATAAAGTTAAATCTTTTTCCAATAAAATAAAATGGTATGAGATGCCTAAAATGATGTGAGAAATATGCATTGATTTTTCGATTGCTTAGTTTTAAACCTGGAGGATTTAAATGAAATAGTCAAGCAAATTGATGATGTTTGTCACATTTTTAAAACACTACCCATGTTCATGCATGTGGCTCCACAAAGGAACTTAACTATGCCAGTGAACAAAAGTAGGGAGCAAAGTGTTAGCAATTACAAAAACCCAGAATTATCCATAGAAAAGTAAATTGGATGGTAGGTAAGGCTTGGTGGTTTGCTGGAGTATTTAAATATGGAATAATGGGAAACATTTATTTCACAGTGAATCCCAACAGTTTCCTAGAAATTTGTCTATGAGGTATTGAGAAGGACACACCTTTTGATAGAAACAATATCCTATTGCCAGCACAGGTTGATTTCCCGATAGATGCTATTGTATCCTACTAGAATAGACAGGAAAACAATCAAAGATAATTAAATACTGCTCAGGTTACAACATGCTATCTTTAATTGTACTTTCTCTGCTTTGGTATCAGAATTCAGTGGTGCCTGTTAGGGAATTCTCAGGCCTGTGCCACCTACCATCTCTTGAATTCCAAGGCCCCAAGTTAGCTTTTATCTTTCAATCCCATCTCCAAATATGTGGCCCATTACTCCCCTATTCCAGTAGGCCAAAAATACCTAGGAATCACCTTTTTCAGTCCTTGGTGATCCTCCCCATCGTCATTTCCTCCACCTTTTTGCTCCTTCTCACTGAAAGAGAGGAAGAAATAGAGGAAGGAGTGAAAAATTCATTCTGCCACCTGCAAAGCATCAGCATTCTATCCTGACCATTGTCAAATTAGAATACATCTGCCAAGACATCACTCTAGCTAATCCCTTTTAAACAAACATAGATGTTTCTACATTAAACTTTCCTTGCTGCTTGTTAAATTTATAAATATAAAAAATTAACAGCCTAAGTAACCTTAATAGATATACTTTATTGAGTTCAAAAATAAGAAAATTTACACCAAAAGTCAATTGTTGTTGTTATGTGCCATCAAGTCAATTTCAACTCATAGCAACTGAATGTGCAACAGAACAAAACAGTGCCCAGTCCTGCACCATCCTCACAGTCATTGCCACGCTTGGGCCCGTCACCACAGCCACTGTCAGTGCATCTCGCTGTGGTCTTCCCTTTGATTTTCCTGCTGACCTTCTACCCAGCATGATATCCTTCTCCAGAGACTGGTCCCTTCTGACAATGTGACCAAAGTATGAGACATGAAGACAACTGTACTTCCTCCAAGACAGATTTGTTCATTCTTCTAGTAGTCCATGATACATTCAGTATTCTTCATCAGCACCACAATTCAAATGCATCAATTCTTCTGTGGTCTTCCTTATTCATTGTCCAGCTCTCAAATGCATATGAGGCTATTGAAAATACCATGGCTTGAATCAGGTGCACCTTAGTCTTCAAAGGGAAGATTATTAGATTTTAATTTTCAAAGCCAATTAAATTTTAATTTTACAATAAACCTGTTAAAGCAGGAACCTGTATAAGGCAGAAACCTATCAGGGAAAGGAAACAAACATTTTTCACTAATAGAGAGCAATACAAAAGTGGTAAGACTGCACAATGTCAAAGCTGGAAAACACGTGAGACCTTGAGAAACAAGACAGTCCTGTCAAGTTCCAATTCTCACAGATTTCACTGTATACACTGCATATATACCCTAATGAGTGTCTTCACGTTGGGTTATGTGCTTATCGTTTCATATTTGTGGCTAAAATCTATCCCAAACATTTAAGGTAAATTTTCCCATGGTCAGCTTTACATTTTGTGTTAATATCTATTATAGGTAATAGCCTTGAACTTCAATAATGCACTTTAAAATATTTGTGCCATTTAAGTAGTTTATTGACAAAGTTGAGGCTACTGATACATGTATATTTTAATGGAGATAGAATATCAGTGTTAGCAAATATGTGTCACCTCATTAAATTTGGGGGGAATCAGAAACTGAAAATTTTAAAGAAGCAAATAATACCTAAAAAATACATCACAAGAGTTTCTGAAATGAAGTAATCCTGGAGATGGGTATTAGAAGCTCAAACACAGCAAATATTATTTAATATTACCTATTAACCTACTTAAAATATTAAGTTAATTTCTACTGAAAGTTTTAACTGCATTTTCATGAAACCTGAAAAAATTTTCATAACTAAAAACATGGTAAATCAACACTACCACCAATAGCCAGTATGAACGTATTTTTCATTTCCTCAAGTCATTATAATTTAATTATGATATTTCTCCAGCTATGGAAAATAATTTCCAAAAATCACA